AAAAAAAAAAAAAAAAAAAATATGTTATGGTTCCTTAGGTGTGACACAAAACCCCAGCTTTGCAGCTCTGCCTGGGTCCTGAATTGAAACTTGGGGATCAGGAGAACCCACAAAGATGCGACACATGCCACCAGGAGAAATGAAGCTGTATCTGTATCTGGAGTCTCTTATCTTCTACCAGTACCCAGGATGCTGGCCAGCAAGCAGGCTAAAATCTCAGAAACAACCTCCATTTGTCAGAATTTACCTGAGAAAGGTCACTCCCAGGAGGAAGGCTGCAAGCCCAAGATGGATCCTGGTTGTTTATCAGTGGATCTCATGTTCCTCTGGCGATGGAGCGTGGGAACTTGCTGTGATTCTCTGTCCTGCCGGCCCTCCTCACCCAGAGTGTGGCTTCCTGGGCACAGAATCTGTATGTACACGGACCCTTTTCAGCAAGGAGGAAGAAAACTAGCTTTTATTGAGTTTTTTATGTGCAAAATACATGTTAATGCCCATAAGTGCCAGCTTTCATTTGCTCACAAAAATCCTAAAGCAGTGGGCATTGTGGTCTCTACTTGACAGAGGAGGAAATTGAGGCCCACAGAGATCGAGTATGAAATGGGGATACACAGCTGTAGATAGAATCAGCTCTGCACTCAGGACACTCCACTGGTCCAGAATGGCTTAGGGCCTCTCAGCACCATACTCATTGTTGATATGCTTTATTTAATAAAAGAGACTTGCCCAAAAATATCAGTGTGTCTGAATTAAAGATACTTCACATTCACTGTTGACTTTCTGCATGGTTAGATCTATATAATCATGCTAAATATCCAGGCACTAGATTAATTTTTTGAATGTTTAATCAGTAGTGTAATATTACCATGACTGGCAATACTACTGTATTCTTTCATTTAAAATGTGTGAGATTTATTATGTGTATTTTAAAAATTATACCTGTTTTTCTTTTTGAGACAGGTATTGCTATGTAGTTCAGGCTGGCCTTAAACTCACAAGGCTAGCTTGAGCTAGCCTTGAACTCACAGTGATCTCCTGCCTCAGCCTCCTAACTGCTGGGATTACAGGTGTGCCACCACACCCAGTTTAAATTCTACATAATTTTGTTTGTATGTCTTTGTCTACTCCCACCTCCCTTTCTCCTCAAATAGAAGTGGATTAAAATTCGTATTACAATGCCCTGAATAGAGGTTTTCTTTGCCACTAGGTCAATTTTGATTCTGAAAATGGACCGATAGTGTACAACACACTGAAGAAAATATTTAAGCATACGTTGGAAGAAAAGAGAAAAATGGCAAAAGACAGCCCCACACCTGACCTCTTATGAAGTTGACTTTCTTCTCACCATGAATATTTCAGACCTAAAGACCCAGATAACATTTCTGCTCATATGTGGATAAGCTGAAGTTTGTGGAGCTACTCTTTCTCATGACACTTTATTTTGGATGCTGTTGGCTTATGCTGAGAATGATCATTCCTGCTTGGAGCTATTATTTATTTTAAAATATCTTGAGCTACATTCCTTAGTCTTTAAAAATTGCCATAAAGTTGGTGCCACTTTTATTTATTTCAGTGAAATAACATTGTATTAACATTTTGCATGTGTGGTGTTTACATCCTTATTCTCTTTCACATTTTGGAAAAGAGCTTTTTCTTCTAAAACAATTATTTTCCTGACAGAACTCTTCCTAGAGCTTCTACCAAATAGATCATTTTAGTAGTACAACCTCTCTGTGTATACACCCCTGGGCACATGACCTAAGAAAGTCACCAAGTGTCTTAAACTGCTTTATATTTGTTACTAAGAAGGCTAAAGGACTTTTTAAAACTTTGAAAGCTTTTGGAGTTTTTTCTTTTTAGAAATGTGACAATGTGAAATGTCTATTTTCAGAGTGACTTAGTTTTATTTTAATGGACTGACTATAAAGTAGTCAGGATGTTTTATTTGTAGAAGGTAGACTCATTCTTCATCAGGCTTCTCTACAACTTCAGCCTGGGCTGTCACAGGAGACGGGGAGTTTTCAATACACCAGGCCTTATCCTCACTCCCCTGTGCTACTGCTGAGCTAAACCGTGTCTTTCCAGAGAATCGTGGATCAGAAGCAGGCAGTGTGAAAGTCACTATGGAGCCAGGTTTACTTTTGTCCCCCAGCAATTTTACAGAAAGGACAGTTGTGCTAGAGCAGAGCTCTGTGCCAGCTCTGGGTACCAGAGGCAACTTTACGCTGGAGGGAGTCAGGAAGGGGCCACCATCTGTGCCGATGGGGTCTAAGCATGACCCCTCCACCACGCTGGCCAAGCCACACACACCCATATCTGCCATTCAACAGACTCACTAGCCTCAGGCCCCTACTTTTGACTGATTTTTTACTATGAGAAATTAGTTTTTAAATTGATACTGCAGGTTGTATTCACCCTGACTTAGCTTCAGATAAGAGTAGGTGACTGCCTAAAATCGTTCCTTATAGGCCAAACTATCAAGCAGCAGTTGAAGCCATAACTTTTATTTAATTAAATAATATATGGGAGTAGCAGTGGCCAAACCAGAGAAAACAGAGTAGCATTTTTAATAAAGGTGGTAATAATCAGACCAATTTTAAACTGAAGAAGCTGCTACTTAATTTCAAGATGGAATTTCAGGGAAAGCAAGACTAATTTAGGAAAAATGAAATTTCTCCAATTCATGCATTTGTAAATTACACTAACTCTTACAGCAAGGTTAATGTCATTTTCTTCCACGCTGTTTGAATTTTATTGGAAAATCAAGACCAGTGAATGTTAATGAACTGATTTGCCCACTTCTGAAATGTCTCATTTTCAAGTGCCTAGCCTGTGAAAGGAGGAGAAACAATTGCATTTTATCTACAGGTACATTACGAATGTAGGATTTTTATGTATATCCATCAGCCTCAACACACACCACACTACCACAGCTCTTCGACCAGCTTTTGTTTTGTTTACCAAAAAGCCAGCTATTTTCCTTTGCATCTGAAACAGTTTCAAATTAAGAGAAATGTCGTGTTGTGGACCACAGCGCTGCATGCCTAAAAATTCAAGTACACAAGCCTGAAATGAAGTACAAGCATTGTATTTATTTAAATAAAAATGAGAAGAGCAACCAGCAACTCTAATCTTGTACTTCTTTACCTTGATGCTCTGGGGCACAGTGCATATCCTATTGACGAGGTTCTCCTCTTGGATTTGCCTGATGAGCAGGGTGAATTGTAGGTGAAAATCAGCTAGCCAAGCTCTAGTTATTCCCCAATCCATCTTCAGTTGGTTTAGAATAACCAAGGACAGAAAAATGAATTCTAAGAATGGTTGAGAAAAATCTCCAAGCCAGCAAGATTCCTACTGTCCTATATTTGAATGGATGAGGAATTTTTTGTTGCCCAGTGTATGGAAACATCACATATTGGGAGAAGTTTTAGGGTTGCAAAATTTTGTTTTAACACAAGTCAAAAGGTCAGGAGCATGCATTAGTATGGGCAACCATTTGCATTATCTCAATTCGCTCCAAAAACAGAATTATTTGTATTTATATGATGAAAGATACAAGTGTGACAGGCTACCCGACTGCACCCTCTTCCTTTCTTATAAGGGACTCAACTACCAGGTGGATCTGTCCAGCCTAGAGCATTCTGAGGGATCTCCATCTCTTTCAGCACTAGAATCCATGATATCAGTAGAGAGCACCTTTTGTCCATGACTTCAGAGGAAATAGCACTTCTCTGTTCTCTGGAAAAGGTTCAGCTAGCTCTGTTACCATATTGCAATGGTCTACAGTGTATCATGTGAGAGGAAATATACACTTCTTGCCACTGTTGGTTTTTTCTATTTCAGAAAGCTTAGTCATACTTTTTGGGAGAAATTGCTGCTGGTGTGGAGCTCATTTTATTTATTTGCATAACTTGAAAATTTTATAATAATTTACTTTGTCGTATCTTTAACCAGCTGGTTTTCATAGAAGAGTACATGTTGGATGTATCAGCCTGGGTTCCATGAAAGTAGCCATATATCATAATTCAATAAAGTTTGCTTTAAATTGATTATGCTCGCTGATAAGCTTGGGTGCTATTTTTGTTTGTTTATTTTAAGACAAGAGTCTCACTGTTCAGTTTCGGCTGGCCTTGAGCTCACTGTGTAGCCCAGATTGGCCTCAAACTCTTGGTGATCCTCCTGCCCCAGTCTCCCCAGTGTTAGAATTACAGGTATGCACCACCACATCTGTCCTCAGCAAAACAAACTGGGCTCAACAGTGAAACAGAACTAAACAAACTAGGGTTAGGGTTAGGACTGTCTCAGAAAATACAAGGAAAGGGAAAGAGAGAAAGTACCTACACAGGACTTATTAACATAAATAGCTGTATGAAAAATAACTTCTAAAACAAACAAAAAAATCAGTGAAAAGAATGCTATGTTCCCCCACCAAAGGGAATGACTACCAGCTTGTGGCACTGTTAGGAAGTGGTAGAATACAGGGAGGAAGTTAGGTTACTAGGAATGTGTCCCTGAAAGAGATGTGGGACTTTCTCTCTCTCCTAGACGACATAAGAATGATTGTTTATGGATTTAAGGCCCAAATAATTCAGCATGATCATCTCAAGTCTCTTAATTACATCTTCAGGGATTTTTTTTTTCTAAATAAGATCACAATTTCAGGTCCTTGGGATTACTACATGGGTATGTCTTTGTGGGTATCAGGAAAGAGAAAACATGATTTAAACCATTATACATGGTACTGAAAATAAAACATTCCTGAGAAAACACAGTCTTTAAATAGATAAACTTTGTGTATGAGTCAGATGACTACAGATTATTAAAATATCAAACCCTGCAGGGCGTGGTGGCACACACCTGTAATCCCAGCACTCGGGAGGCTGAGGCATGAGGCTGGTCTCTGTGAGTTTGAGACCAGCCTGGGCTACATAGTGAGTTCCAGGTCAGTCTCAACTACATAGTGAAAGACCGGGGATTTAGCTCAGCGGTTCGGTGGCCTGCCTTGCAAGCACAAGGACCTGAGTTCAATCCCCGGTACCAAAAAAAACAAACAAAAAAAAAAGCCAACTACACAGCGAGAACCTGCCTCAAA